TGCCCGCGCTGTCCCCGCCCCGGCCGGGCCGGTGCCGCCCATTTCCGCCGGGCGGAGCCGCCCTCGGCCCCGCCGCCAGCGCCCGCCCGGCCCGGCCCGGCCCCGGCCCCGCTCGCTCCGGTGCAGCCCCGCCATGGCGGGCGGCCCGGCCGCGCTCGCCCTCGGTAGGTGCGGGGGGCTCGGCCCGGGGGCTCCGCGCCCCCCGCCCGGCCGGACCCGCCGGGGGCAGCGCCGGTGCCGGGGCTCGGGGGGCTCTGCGGGCGGGTTCGGGGGCTCGGCTCCGTGAACCGCGGGGATGCGGCGAAATTCCCGTCAAAAATTCCCGTTAAAAATTCCCATTAAATTCCCCCGCGCGGGCGCTCCCGAAGTTCGCTCCCTGTGGGAAAGGCGCCTCCGCCGCGACGCGTGAGTACGGCCGCGGTCAGGCGCTTAATTAGAGCGGCTAATTAGGGCTGGGGGCTAATTGGAGTTGCGGGAGGGAAGCGGGGGCGCTGCGGGCTGCAGCGGGGCGATGCCGGGACGGGAGCGGGGATGCTCCCGGGGGAGCGAGGGCAGCATCCCGGAGCTTTGTCCCGCCGTCCCCGCCGGTGTCCCTCCGGTGTCCCGGTGGGAAAGCGGCGCTCCGGGAAAGCGGCTGGGCTTGGCCGCCGTGTCCCGGTGCTGCCGAGGCTCCAGCACCGTGTCCGTCCTCCCGTGTCCCGTTCTCTGCCGCTGCTGCCCGTTCCCGTGGCTCCGGGGCTCTCCGGTGCCGGCGCGGTTCCCCGCCCGTCTGAGCGCCCCGCTCCCGGGAATTCCCATTCCCGGTGGGATCCGAGCCCCGGCGGATCCACCGGGGATGCGGGGAAGGAGAGGGGGAACCGCTCCGGCTGCCGGCGGGGATCGCGGCCGGGCGGCTCCGGAGGGAATTTGGAGCGGGGAACGGACGCGGCGATAGCGGAGAAGCGCGGCTGGGAATTCGCGGGATGGAGCGGCTGGAAGCGCCGTGGGAAGGCTCGGGAGGGAGAGATTCCCGGTGATCCTGGAGAACGGGGTGGGATGGGGCTGGAAAACCGAGCGGCGCTGGGTCAGCCCCACGCTGGGGCTCCAGCCGGGATTGTCCGAGTGTCCAGCCCCACGCCGGGGCTCCAGCCTGGACTGTCCGAGTGTCCAGCCCCACGCCGGGGCTCCAGCCTGGACTGAGTGTCCAGCCCCACACCAAGGCTCCAGCCTGGACTGTCCGAGTGTCCAGCCCCACACCAAGGCTCCAGCCGGGATTGTCCGAGTGTCCAGCCCCACACCAAGGCTCCAGCCAGATTGTCCGAGTGTCCAACCCCACACCAAGGCTCCAGCTTGGACTGTCCGAGTGTCCAGCCCCACACCAAGGCTCCAGCCAGGACTGTCCGAGTGTCCAGCCCCACACCAGGGCTCCAGCCTGGACTGAGTGTCCAGCCCCACACCAAGGCTCCAGCCAGGACTGTCCGAGTGTCCAACCCCACACCAAGGCTCCAGCCAGGATTGTCCGAGTGTCCAGCCCCACGCCGGGGCTCCAGCCGGGACTGTCCGAGTGTCCAGGGGGTGCCCGGTGTCCCCACGCAGGGCCCGGGCACGGAAAACATCCCGAGGGCCGGGATCAGGGATGAGGGCTGGGATTCCCACCTGCCCACGGAGAGGAGCTGACGAGGAGAACGGAGGAGATGGAATGCCCAGGGGATGGATGCCCACCCAGAACTGGAATTTCCCAAAAGATGGATGCCAGAACCAGAATTGGACTCAAAACCAGAACGCCAAGGGGATGGACACGCAGTGATCCCACCGGAATGCCCAGAGGATGGATGCCCACTGGTCCCACTGGGATGCCCAGGGGATGGACGCCCACCCAGAACTGGGATGCCCAGGGATGGACACACAATGATCCCACCAGAATGCCAATGGGGATGGATGCCCACCCAGAACAGGGATGCCAGGGGATGGATGCCCACTGGTCCCACTGGGATGCCAGGGGATGGACGCCCACCCAGAACTGGGATGCCCAGGGATGGACACACAATGATCCCACTGGAATGCCAATGGGGATTGATGCCCACCCAGAACTGGAATTTCCCGAAAGATGGATGCCAGAACCAGAATTGGACTCAGAACCAGAACGCCAAGGGGATGGACACGCAGTGATCCCACCGGAATGCCCAGAGGATGGATGCCCACTGGTCCCACTGGGATGCCCAGGGGATGGATGCCCACCCAGAACAGGGATGCCAGGGGATGGATGCCCACTGATCCCACCGGAATGCCCAGGGGATGCACGCCCACCCAGAACTGGAATTCCCCAAGGGATGGATGCCATCTCAGAACCAGAACACCAAGGGGATGGACACACAATGATCCCACCGGAATGCCCAGAGGATGGATGCCCACCCAGAACCAGGATGCCAGGGGATGGATGCCCACTGATCCAACCAGAATTCCCAGGGTATGGACACACACTGAGGACTGGGATGCCAGGGAAAGGACACCCACTCAGGACTGGGATGCCAGGGGGGTGGATGCCCACTGATCCCAATGGAATGCCAGGGGATGGACACCCACTAATTCCAACAGAATTCCCAGGGGGATGGACGCCCACTCAGGATTGGGATGCCCAGGGGATGGACATGCACTGATCCCACCGGGATGCCAGGGGATGGATGCCCACCCATGCCACTGGGATGAGCCATTCCCAGAATCCCGGCAGTGGCGGCGCACTTCCCAAAAACCCAGCCCGGAAGAAGGCCCGAGGTGGGAAAATGGGCAGGGCTGGGATGGGAGCGGAGAATTCCTGAGGGCTGCGAGAAACTGGGGCAACTGGGGAGGATCCCTGATGGTCCAGTGGATCCCTGAAGCTGTGGATGATCTCTGAGACGCCGGTGGATCCTCGAAGCTGTGGAGGATCCCTGAAGCCATGGAGCATCCCTGAAGCTCCCGTGGATCCCTGAAGCCATGGATGATCTCTGAGACTCTGGTGGATCCCTGAAGCCATGGAGGATCCCTGAAGCTCCCGTGGATCCCTGAAGCCATGGATGATCTCTGAGATTCTGGTGGATCCCTGAAGCCATGGGGGATCCCTGAAGCTGCAGTGGATCCCTAAAGCCATGGATGATCTCTGAGATTCTGGTGGATCCCTGAAGCCGTGGGGGATCCCTGAAGCTGCAGTGGATCCCTAAAGCCATGGAGGATTCCTAAAGCTCCAGTGGTTCCCTGAAGCCATGGAGGGCCCTTGAAGCTCCAGTGGATCCCTAAAACCATGGATGATCCCTGGAGCACCAATGGTTCCCTGAAGCTATGGAGGTTCCCTGAGGCTCCAGTGGATCCCTGAAGCCATGGAGGATTCCTGAAGCTCCAGTGGATCCCTGAAGCTGCAGTGAGTTCCTGGAGCTGTGGTGGATCCCTGGATTTGTGCTGGATCCCTAAAACCATGGCAGATCCCTAAAGCTCCTGAGGCTGTGGTGAATCCCTGAAGCCCTGGTGGATTCCTGAAGCTCCAGTGGGTCCCTGAGACTGTGGAGTATCCCTAAAGCTGTGGCAGATCCCCGAAGCTCCAGAGGGTCCCTGGGTGGATCCCAGAGATCCAGAGGGTCCCTGGGTGGATCCCGGAGATCCGGTGGGTCCCTGGGTGGATCCCAGAGATCTGGTGGGTCCCTGGATGGATCCCAGAGATCTGGTGGGTCCCTGGGTGGATCCCAGAGATCTGGTGGGTCCCTGGATGGATCCCAGAGATCTGGTGGGTCCCTGGGTGGATCCCGGGGATCCGGTGGCACCGGGATCTGCCGGATGCGCCGCCCCAGGCTCCGCCTCCCTCCCGCCGCCGTTTCCGCGCCGTTGGATCCAAATCGGGAGGGAAACGGGGTCAGATCCCAGGAAGTTGGTCAGTCCTGGGAAAATCCTGGGAAAATCCCAGGAAATTGGTCAATCCCAGGAAAAATCAATCCCGGGAAATTGGTCAGTCCTGAGAAAATCCCGGGAAAGCAGTCAATCCCAGGAAATTGGTCAATCCCAGGACCCCATAATTCCACCCCATAATTCCGCAATTTTTCTTTAAAAAATGATGGACTTCGAGGGGTCACTCAAAGGTGTCATTCCTGCCAGGACCCCATAACTCCACCCCCACAGGGAATTCCTTCTTTTTCCTTAAAAATCTTGGAGATTTTCCTTTTAAAATCTTGGAGATTTTTCCTCAAAGTTTCCTTTGGTGGGGGTTCATTCCTGCCAGGACCCCATAATTCCACCCCTACAGGGAATTTCTGAGTTTTCCTTTAAAATCTTGGAGTTTTTTCCCTTTAAAATCTTGGAGTTTTTTCCTTTAAAATCTTGGAGTTTTTTCCCTTTAAAATCTTGGGGAATTTTCCTTTAAAGTCTTGGGGAATTTCCCTTTAAAATCTTGAGGAATTTTCCTTTAAAATCTTGGCGATTTTTCCTCCAAAAAGCAAAAACCCCCTTGAGACGTTTCCTTAAACATTTCCTTCAAATTCCTGCATTTTCCATCAACGTTTTGGGGTGGTTTTGTCCACCTTAAATCCTCCCCGTGGGGTTTTTTGGGGGTTTTTTGGGGTTTTTTGTGGCTGACCCCCGTGTCCCCCCCCAGGTGTCCTGCTGGCCGCGTGCCACGCGCTGGACAACAGCACGGCCGGCCGGAGCGGTGAGTGACCCCAAAAATTGGGGAGATTTTGGGGTTTTCTGGCACCCCAACCCTCCCCTCGGTGGGGTAACGGGGACCCGGGTGGGATCCTGGCCCCAAATTCCAAGGGGAAAAGCGGGCCACAAAAAAAAAGGGGTTTGGTCCCAAAAAAGGGGTTTTGGTCCTAAAAAACAAGGGTTTCTGGTCCCAAAAACAAAGGGATTCTGGTGCGAAAAAATAAAGGGTCTCTGGTCCCAAAAAAAGGGGTTTTGGTCCCAAAAAATAAAGGGTTTCTGGTCCCAAAAAGAAATCCCTTTCCTTCCTGGGGCCAGAAACACTTTTGGGATGGGAAATCTTTTGGGATGGGAAATCCCTTTTTGGGGTGGAAAATCTCCTTTTAAAGTGGGATATCTCCTTTTTGGGATGGGAAATCTATTTTTGGGGTGGGAAATCCCTTTTTGGGGTGGAAAATCTCCTTTTAATGTGGGAAATTTCCTTTTTGGGATGGGAAATCTCCTTTTGGGATGGGAAATCTCCTTTAGGGATGGGAAATCTCCTTTAGGGATGGGAGTGGCTCTTCCCAGAGGTTGGCTCTTCCAGAGTTGGGGACACGGGGACATCCCAGGGTGGATTTTCCAGCTCTGGGGACACGGGGACATCCCAATCCCATCCCACATCCTAGGGTTTAATCCCCTTTTTGGGGCTGCCCTAAATGGGGCTGGGGAGCCGGGGCTGGGTCGGAAGTGCCTCGATCCCAAACATTCCCAGCAGGATCTTCCCTTCCGGGGGATAATTCGAACCAGGGGGGACTGAACGGGATTTTGTGGGATTTAATGGGAAACAGGAGCGGGCTGGGCTCCCTCCTCCGCCCTTTTAAGCTCTTTAGGAAATTCCTGAGGGATTGTTGAGGCAGGAGCCGGCTGGGAGGGATTTGGGGTGGCTGAAATGAGCCCCAAAGCAGCTCTGCTCGCCCTTTGGGGTGGGGAAAATCTCCTTTTGGGAAGGGAAATCTCCTTTTGGGATGGGAAATCTCCTTTTTGGGGTGGGAAATCTCCTTTTGGGATTGGGGATCTCCCTTTTGGGGTGGGAAAAACTCCTTTTGGGGTGGGAAATCTTTTGGGGTGGGAAATCTTTTGGGATGGATAAAATTCCTTTTGGGGTTGGAGCATCTCCCCTTTGGGGTGGAAAAAAATCCTTTTGGGAAGGGAAATCTCCTTTTGGGATGGGAAATCTCCTTTTTGGGGTGGGAAATCTCCTTTTTGGGGTGGAAAAATCTCCTTTTTGGGATGGGAAATCTCCTTTTTGGATGGGAGATCTCCTTTTGGGGTGGGAAATTTTTTGGGGTGGGAAATCTTTCAGGGTGGGAAATCTCGTTTTCGGGGGCCGCTCCCCGGTGGGATCCCGTTTTTTGGGGACCCCCCCGGCGGCGTTGGATGCCCCAGCATCGCCGTTCTCCGGGCGGTTTCCGCAGCTCCGGTGGCGGCGGCCGTGCGGTCGCACTTCCACGAGTGCCCCGACTCGCACCGGCACTTCTGCTTCCACGGCTCCTGCCGCTTCCTGGTGCAGGAGGAGAAACCCGCCTGCGTGTGAGTACCCCAAAACGGGGACACCCCAAAAATGTGGGCTCAGGGGGCTGGGACACCCCAGATCCCGACCCCAAAACTGTGGGGTCAGGAGAAACCCGCCTGCGTGTGAGTACCCAAACCTGGGACACCCCAAAATGTGGGGTCAGGGTGCTGGGACACCCCAAATCCTGACCCCAAAACTGTGGGGTCACTGGGGAAACCCCAAAACTGTGGGGTCAATGTCACTCGGGGTGTGTGGGGACACGCTGACCTGCTCTGTGTCCCCAGGTGTCCCCAGGTGTCACTCGGGGTGTGTGGGGACACGCCGACCTGCTCTGTGTCCCCCAGGTGTCACTTGGGGTACGTGGGGACACGCTGACCTGCTCTGTGTCCCTGTGTGTCCCCAGGTGTCACTCGGGGTACGTGGGGACACGCTGCGAGCACGCTGACCTGCTGGCCGTGGTGGCAGCCACCCAGAAGAAGCAGACCATCACGGCCCTGCTGGTGGTGGCCGTGGTGGCCTCGGCGCTGCTCGTCACCGTCTGCGTCCTGGTGCAGTGAGTGCCACCGGGGAGCTCCTGGGGACAGCCCTGGCCCCGTCCCTGTCCCCATCCCTGTCCCTATCCCTGTCCCATCCCTGTCCCCATCCCTGTCCCATCCCTGTCCCCATTCCTGTCCCCATCCCTGTCCCCATTCCTGTCCCCATCCCTGTCCCATTCCTGTCCCATCCCTGTCCCTGTGTCCCCCATTCCCTGTCTCATCCCTGTCCCCATTCCCTGTGTCCCCATCCCCGTCCCTGTGTCCCCATTCCCTGTCACCATGTCCCCATTCCCTGTCTCATCCGTGTCCCAATTCCATGTGTCCCCATCCCTGTGTCCCCATCCCTGTCCCTGTGTCCCCACTCCCTGGCCCCATTCCCTGTCCCATCCCTCTCCCAGTCCCTGTCCCCATCCCTGTTCTTGGGTCCCCATTCCTGTGTCCCCATTCCTGTGTCCCCATTCCCATCCCTGTCCCCATTCCCATCCCTGTCCCCATTCTCTGTGTCCCCTGTGCCCATGTCCCTGTCCCCAGTGTCCCCAGTGTCCCCATGTCCTGTCCCTGTCCCCAGCTGCTGCCGCCTGCGGAAGCGCTGTCCCTGTCCCTGTCCCTGTCCCGGTTGGTGCCGCGAGCCCGGAGCCGGCCCCGAGAAACCGGCGGGGCTGCTCAAGGGGGGAGCGTCCTGCTGCCACAGCGACACAGGTGAGGGACACCTGGGGACATCCATGGGACACCTGGGGACATCCATGGGACACCTCGGGACACCTGGGGACAGCTGGGGACATCCATGGGACACCTGGGGACACCTGGGGGGTGACAGGAGAAACCGGGGGGGCTGCTCAAGGGGGGAGCGTCCTGCTGCCACAGCGACACAGGTGAGGGACACCTGGGGACATTCATGGGACACCTGGGGATACCTGGGGACATCCATGGGACACCTGGGGATACCTGGGGACATCCATGGGACACCTTGAGACACCTGGGATACCTGGGGATACCTGGAGACATCCATGGGACACCTCGGGATACCTGGGGACATCCATGGGACACCTGGGGACATCCATGGGACACCTCGAGACACCTGGGGATACCTGGGGATACCTGGGGACATCCATGGGACACCTGGGGACACAGGGGACAGGTGAGGGGACACCAGGGGACACTGGGGACACAGGGGACACCTGGGACAGGTGACACCCGGGGCTGTAACCGCTGCCATTCCCATCCCCACAGGTGTGTGACAGACCCGGGACCACCTGGGGACCCCTGGGGACCCCTGGGGACACCCGGGACCACCTGGGGACCCCTGGGGACATCCGGGGACACCCGGGGACCCCCAGGCCCGTCCCCTCCCCCCTCCCATGCTCTGGATCCTTTTTTGGGGGCGTTTCCCCCTTGCCCGGCCTTTTCCCGGGTTTCCCCTTGACTTTTGGGTCGTTTTCCCGGGATTTTTCAACCCCAAATCTTCGGGATTTGAACCCAAACCCCCGCCAGGATGGGGATTTATTTTTCTACAAAAACCCCCGGCTCATTTTTTGGGGTCAAATCCCGGCTTTTTATGAATAATAAATGAATTTAAATCCCAGGAAACCTCCTCGGGCTGGAGGCACAGCCTCCATCTCCCCTTAGTAACCAACCCGGAGCTTTTCCCTCTGTTTTGGGGTTGTTTTTTGGGGTTTTTTGTTTTGGGGTTTTTTGTTTTTGTTTTGGTTTTTTTTTTTTAAGTCATGGTTACTCTCATGTCTTCTGTATATGTTGCACTGAAAGTTAATATTTAATGTTTTAATTTATTTCGCCTGGTTTAAATTAATTTTGATTCCTATAAAGATGTTCTTGTCATCCCCTGGTCTTGGGTTTGTTGATTTTTTTCCCATCCTGAAAACCTGGATTAGTTAAAAGATGTAAAAACACTTTATTTTTTTCAGGAAATCCGTGGTTTGGGGTTTTTTTGGGGGGGTATTCGGGAAGGAGATGCTGAATCCCACAGTGCGAGTGGGAGGAATATTCCCAGGGATGGCTGAGCCCCAAATTCCCAAATTTTCATCCCAGATTTTCCATCCCTTTATACCCCAATGATGAACTCGGCCCCATTTTCCATTATTTTATCCCAAATTTTGAAGCCCAGTTTTGGGCTCAGCCCCGTTTTCCCATTATTTCATCCCAAATTTTCAATCTTGATGTTCATATTTCAAGTTTTGGGGTCAGCCCACCCCATTTTGGGGCAGGTTTGGGGCAATTCCCGGCAGTTTTGGGGTGGTCCTGGAGGTTTTAGGGCAATTCCTCTCAGTTTTGGGATTGTCCTGGAGATGTGGGGACATTTTTTTGGGTGGTTTTGGGGAGATTCTCAGTAGTTTTGGGACAATTCTCAGGAGTTTTGGGGGATTCTCAGTAGGTTTGGGGCAATTTCTGGCAATTTTGGTGCGATTCTCAGCAGTTTTGGGACAATTTCTGGCGGTTTTGGGGCAGGTTTGGGACAATTTCAGTTTTGGGGCGGGTTTTGGGGCAGTTCCCCTCAGGTTTGGGGTGGGTTTTTGAACGATTCTCCTCAGTTTTGGGGTGGGTTTTGGGACGGGTTTTGGGGTGGGTTTTGGGGCGGATCCCCTCAGATTTGGGGCGAGTTTTGGGGCAGATTTTGGTGCGGTTTTCCTCAGGTTTTGGGGCGGTTTTTGAACTATTCTCCTCAGTTTTGGGGCGGGTTTTTGGGGCGGTTCCCCTCAGGTTTGGGGCGGATTTGGGGGCGAGTTTTGGGGCGGATTTTGGGGTGGTTTTCCTCAGGTTTTGGGGCAGTTCCCCTCCTGTTTGGGGCAGGTTTTTGAACGATTCTCCTCAGGTTTGGGGCCGGTTTTGGGGCGGGTTTTTGGGGCTGTTCCCCCCAGATTTGGGGTGGATTTTGGGGCGGTTCCCCTCAGGTTTGGGGCGGGTTTTGGGGTGAGTTTTGGGGCGGTTCCCCTCAGGTTTTGGGGCGGTTTTCCTCAGTTTGGGGCGGGTTTTTGAACGATTCTCCTCAGGTTTGGGGTGGGTTTTGGGGTGGGTTTTGGGGTGGTTCCTCTTAGGTTTTGGGGCGGATTTTGGGACGATTCTCCTCAGGTTTGGGGCGGATTTTGGGGC